GGGGTCAGTGTAAGTTTTTTCTATTTGAAAATCGAAGTTGTTGTTGAAAAGGATGCATACCCCTGCTTTATTGCTCTTATAAGTACTAAAAATAGCTTGATAGCCCCATTCAGCAGACCATACGTGATTAGTATTTTCAGTGCAGTGGACTTCTTGTAGCATATATGCCGAGTAATTTTTTTTGCGAAGCCAATTAAACACCTCTCTACGCTTTGTATTGTCTCTTAATCCCCTGACGTTTAGTGATGCTATTGTCAAAGTCAATTATTGTTGTTGTCGGAATTTCACTTAGAATCCATCATTCTAAACGAAACTACAATTTTACAGCATATTTAAACATGGTTATAAAATATCAAGTTATCTAGACTTAACTAGAAATTCAACCAATAGGAAAGACCTAGTCGGAAAATTCGCATAAGTAACCACAAATTCATGATTGAAACTGTAAGATATAATCAAACTCCCCAGAACGATAGATTCTGCCCAGTTTGTAACTCTGGTATAATTGAAGACGAATTTCGTTTTCTCTTGCATTGTCTAAAGTGTTTTCAATCCCAAGCGAAAACTTCTACAATCAAATCCAACAAAATTTTGTCGATTTTAATCAGCTATCTTGCACAGAGTTAAAACTTAAATTGTGAATTCACGGGATGTTTCTCTAAATTCACATTTGTTGAAATTTGTTTCATTATGTAAATGATTTACGTAATAATGTATTATAAAATCATACTGATGACACTTGATTGACCATTGTAATCATTGCATTGTATCATCATTAGTATAAATTGTAACTCTATCTTCTCTCTTCTCTCTTTTCTCTATCTTTTCTATCTTAAAAAGCTTTTACAATACTGTAATTACATATGGTCAAGCAAATAAAGCTTATGTTGTTGTTGTTGTTGTTGTTGAAAATTGCATTTCCCAGGACTAAATTTGGGCAGCGTACCTTAGATAAAAGGGGGTCTTTCGGGACTTGCTTCCTTGCCACTTCCTGTGTTACATACATCAGTATTCGCTTAAATGTACTCATTCCAAAAAAGTGTATTTTTCGAAGTGGTTTTTAAAATTTTATGCAGAAAATCTAGGCAATGATTTGCAAGGGCCCCAAAAAATTCCTACAAACTGAAAATTACATTACCCGTCACTCAGTCTAATGGTCCGTCATTCAGATAAGAGACTGGTAAAAAAGTATAGGGGGGGGGTGGGCCGGAGCAGAGAGGGGGTGGGTCATGAGGTTTTGAGCCTTGTGCAAGGGGTGGGTCGTGCAATTTTCAGCTACCCTTAGGGGGTGGGTTATCCTATTTTATTACATAGATAGGCACTAACTACTAACGAGACAGTTGACTACACTTGTTACATAAAACACAGCCAGCTGGAATTATTGCTAAAATACTCACAAACCTGTTGTGCGAGAAAATACAAAGGGTGACAGGCCGCACATCTATACGGGGGTGGAACCCTCTGTTAACCTTCTTTTTTTTTGGCTCTAACGAGCATGTCCTTTACTGATTTTCCTTTTTTGTAAGGAAATGATTGGTGGTTCTTTAAAAATTTATTGAAGTTATAGTTGGGTTTGTATAAGATTGCATTTTTTCATTCAAGCTTCCTTTATAGTAGACACTGAGGGCTGGTATTGTGTCACGAATGGCAATATTTCTTTTTCTCCTTGTTGTTTTGTTTTAGGAGTTTAGACTCCCTTTTGTGAATTTTTTTTCTGATAGTAGGTTTTCTATCAGATTGTGGGTAGCCTCCGTCTATCAAGCGTTTTTTTTTTTAATTTAAATTATTTTCCTCAAAGGTTGTTTCTGAGGAGTTTTTTCGTAGGATTCTCAAGGCTTCTCCTTTGACAAATTCTTTTTTAACATTTGGAGGGTGACACGAGGTGAAAATGTGTGTGCAAGAAGGTTTCCGTTTGTTTAAAATGTGTCTTTGCATCAAGGATAGATTTTTCCTTGAATCTTGTGCCTTCGTATACAACCGTGTCTAAAAACGCAGTCTCAGTGTCAAATGTTTCGGCCGTGAATTCAATAGTTGGGTGATGTAAGTGTGCTTGTTCAATGAAGGCTTCGATGTCTGGTTTACTCATGTCCCATAGGGAAAAGATATCGTGTATGTAGCATTTCCAAACTGTTGTTCTAAAGACAGTTTTGCTTAGAGTTGTTGTTTCAGTATATGTCATGAAAATATCGGCAAAGGAATCAAAACTGCTGTCTTTGTGCCCATTGCAGTTCCATGGTTTTGTAGGTAGTGCTTTCCATTGAAGTGGAAGAAATTTTCTTTGAGGATTAATCTAAGCATTTCCGGCAAGTAATGTGTAGGAATGGTTTGTAGAAACTTTCATATTCTTTGTGACAGACAATTTCAATATACCCTCGTGCTGTACATTTGATTTTGAAATTGGATGTAGCAGTGTATGAACAAATTTTGTCAGGCACAGAACAAGGTTTTATTGGATTATTAAGAAGAAACCAAACATCCATGTTCTAACTAGGGGGTGGGTCATGCAATTTCCAACCCTGCTTTAGGGGTGGGTCAGTCATTTTTGTGCCGAAGGGAGGGGGTGGGTCATGTGTTTTTTATCAACCACAATGCTCCAGCCCACCCCACCCCCTCCCATACTTTTTGACCAGTCCCTAAGAGTATGATTTGTTTAGACTATTTTAGTACACCAATACATGAACAAATTAAAGGGAAAATGATCAAGGTCAGTTCCTCTATCTATGAAATACTTTTTCATTATCTCATCGAACAACTTCCTAAAAGACTTCCTACGGCTTTCAGTGCTATTGATTAAAACCGAGTACGAAGCAAAATACTTGTAGCAATCTTCAAAGGAACTTGGCATAATTA